TTAGTATTATTATTATTATTATTATTATTATTATTAATATTGAGAGACAAGCTCACTGTCTGTTTCTCAGGCTGTGACAGGAGATCACATACTGGGCTGCCAGTTCAAGGATTGGTAGCCGTTGTGATTCTGGCAGGTGTGGGAACTCTGGGATTAGATTTCTGAATTTAGGGAAGAATGTTTCTCTAATCCCAGAGTATCTGTCACAGTGCAGTAGGAAGTGTACTTCTGTCTCTATTTCTCCCAGCTGGCAGTGGCCTGTCCTCTCTGGGCAGCCAGTTCTGCCTGTGTCGCCCAGTTTCTATGGCCAGTCTGTGGTCACTGAGCCTGTACTTCGTCAGGTTCTGTTTCTTTTTGCTTTTACTTAGGTTGGTCAAATATTTGGCTAGTGTGTATTGTCTATTTAGGGTTCTGTAGCATTCCAGTTTATGTTGTGTTTGTGTCCCAGTGTGTGAGATATTGCTGTTTGATCTGTGCTGTGATGTGGTTGAGTCTGAGTTGTGGTGCTCTAGCAGTGCTGTCCTGATGCTGGTTAGTGTCGGTGTGGCTCAGGTCAGTGAGCCTCAGGACCAGCTGGCTCAGGGGGCTCTGTTTTGGGCTCAGCTCTTGGCTCAGCAGGGCATTGTGGTGGTAGGAGTTTTGGTGGCTGCTTTTTAGGTGTACCCAATACTTTAAAACTCTCTTCTGTATTTTTATTTATAGTGGTTATTGGCCTAATTCGGCCCTGCACCCATTGTTAAGAGTTTCTGTGGGGTGTTTGTCCCATTGAGTGTAATCCTGGTCTGTGAGGGGACCCCACACTTCACTGCCGTATAGGGCAATGGGTTGGATTACACTTTCAGATATTTGGAGCCAGATTCTTGTTGCTGGGTTGATGTTAAATTTTGTTTAATCTTATTGTGTAGAAAGCCCTAAGTGTCTTCTCCTTCACTGCTACTGTAGGTCAAAACTCCCAGATGAGCTGATAGTCCTTCTCTCTCCTCTCTCCTCTATCCATCTCCCTCTCTCCACCCTCTCTCCTCTCCTCTCTCCTCTCCCTCTCTCTGCTCTTTGTCCTTCAGTACAATCTCACTGATCTTGGGAAAGGTGACACACAGAGATCTTGCTGTAAAGTCAAAGTCGAAAACTGATAAAGCTACTGGTTCAGGCTGGCTATAAATAGATTAGTATACAGCATACAGCCTTTCCGGGAAGAGTGGGATTGCTGCTCCCGGCTTAATATTCCCCTACCATCACTGGGATTATGGCTGTAATCACCTTGGATAACAAACAGCCTCCATCTAATAACAGGCCACAAGGAAGCTACTGACAAGACCTCCCTCTCTTCACCTGGAGTATAAATACTTTCCACACGTACAGCTAGAGTATGCATTCCGAACATACTGCACACCTGGAGCGTACATTCTGTGTATAACAGACACTCAGAGCATTTACACAGCGCACACTGCAGACCTGAAATATATACAGCATACATTGTACACCTGAGGTTAATATACTATATATATCATTCACCTAGAGTATATACACTATACTCCCTGTGCACCTGGAGTATACATACTGTACCGCATATATCATACACCTGGAGTATATACACTGTACTCACTGTACACCTGGAGTATATACACAGTACACACCGTTCACCTGGAGTTTATATATACTGTATATGTTACGCCCCCAAATAAACAAATGTCTACGCTTCAACACAGTACAGTTCAGCTCAAGTACATCAGTGGCACCAACCTGTGTCTGTGTGGAAGACCTGTGCCCCTGATATATGTGCTAAGTGTGCCTGCATCCTGTGTCAGCACCGTGCACCTGGTGTGCTGTCTGCACATTCCTATCAGCCAAGGATTGCCTGACCTTTGTGTGATAGATAACAGCTTGCTTCAGCCCTGACACACCCCACATACATTGACTGAACACTGAACAGACACTGCTGAGGAGATATCAGAGACTGCTCAGGGTCGCACACTGCTGAGGAGAGATCAGACACTGCTCAGGGTCGCTCACTGCTGAGGAGAGATCAGACACTGCCCAGGGGCGCACATCCCGAGAGACTGCGCACACTCCTGAGGAGAGATCAGAGACTGCTCAGGGGCGCACATCCCGAGACTGCGCACACTGCTGAGGAGAGATCAGATACTGCTCAGGGGCGCACATCCCGAGAGACTGCGCACACTGTTGAGGAGAGATCAGACACTGCCCAGGGGTGCACACCCCGAGAGACTGCGCACACTCCTGAGGAGAGATCAGAAACTGCTCAGGGGCGCACACCCCGAGACTGCGCACACTGCTGAGGAGAGATCAGATACTGCTCAGGGGCGCACACCCTGAGAGACTGCGCACACTTCTGAGGAGAGATCAGACACTGCTCAGGGTTGCACACTGCTGAGGAGAGATCAGACACTGCTCAGGGGCGCACACCACAAGAGACTGCGCACACTGCTGAGGAGAGATCAGAGATTGCACTCTCTCTCTCACTCTGTCCTCAGGATTCACCCTCTCTTGCCTCTCAGGTTTCTCAGACTCTCTTCCTCTATGATTCTGTTCAAAGTCCCTGCCAGGGTAGGTGGCACAGAATGCTGCAACCTGATTGGTTCTCCGGGCTCCATGGGGAGGGGCTTCACTACACAGCTCCATGTGTCCAGATGGTGGGGAGAGATCTGAGGTCACACAGCTGCACACTGGACTGGATTCATAACAACCCGGACTGGATCAGCACCACTGGATTGTTCACTGAAGCCACAGCTGCAGACCAGACTGGACTGACAATAACTGGATTGGATAGTGTAATATTCACTGTTTATTGAAGCCATACAGAGGCAGACTGGACTAGGTTATTAACTAATCAATATCTTATATATTTAAACTCCTTTTATGTTTCTGAATAACGCAGACTCAGCCTGACGTTAACAATAATGCAACACCCACAGCAGCAGACAGAGCAGGCAAGGACTGCTTGGGTCGAGCCCTGTCTATGTAGCGGAGCTAGTTCGGACACAGTAAACATCATCGCCCTCCCTGTGCGTAGCAGGGACCTCAGCTGCCTAGGCTGAGGGAGGTCTCATTTAGCTCATGCGGCTGGTTCTCTGTTGCGTTATGCCAGAGACCGGAGGGCATGAGCCCACATGGAACCGCAATGATCACATCTACAGCCTGTATGTATCAGGAGCTGCTCTCTCCTGTCTGCTCTGAGCTGTCGCTGTTTTGTGTGGTTCATGTTTTTCTCAGGAGAAAACAAGCTTGCAGGCAGGGGATGAGGCCAGAGGTCACACTGCTCTCTTCTCTACCCCATCACCTTGGGAAACAGACCAGCACAAAGGAAAGAGAACAGTCTGACACTGTGCTGCACATCTCACTGAGCTATTGTGAAACGTCCCTGGAGAATGAAAGAGACACAATGGACTCAGTGATTTCAGACACCTGATCTCTGAAACAGGGAGAAGCACCTGAACCAGGGCAGAGAGAACAGAAAGGAAAGAGGGAGGGAGAACTCTACCTCACCCACTGGAACACAAACACAGACTGAAATGAAGAAATCAGAAACTCACAGTGACCACAGCCTGGCCATAGAGACTGGACACAGGCAGACCTGGCTGCCCAGAGAGGACAGGCTGTGCTCCCACTGCCAGCGGGGAGAAATAGAGACAGAGGTGCACTTCCTACTGCACTGTGACAGATACTCTGGGATTAGAGAAACATTCTTCCCTATATTTAGAGATCTAATCCCAGAGTTCCCACACCTGCCAGAATCACAACGGGTCCCAATCCTACTGGGAGAGGGAGGAGGGAACTCAGCTGAACTGGCAGCCCAGTATGTGATCTCCTGTCCTGTAACTGACTGACACACTGACAGTGATTGACACAGTAATTGACACAGTGACTGACTCACTGACACAGTGACACAGCAACCGACTGACACACTGACACAGCAACTGGACTGACACACAGACACACTGTGACACAGTATCTGACTGACATACTGATTCAGTAACTGACTGACACACTGATTCAGTAACTGACTGACACACCGACGCAGTGAGTGACCGACAGTGTCTTATGTAGCACCTGACACACTGACGAACTAAAGTCCCTGCTGTGCTGGACAATAGAGAGAAAGTACAGTGTCAGTGTTTTTTATTTATAGAGACAGGAACTGCCCAATATTTCGAAATATATGAGAGCCAAAGGAGAGAGAGAAAATGTGCATCTGTAAGTGCTGTGAGTAGCAGTGTTTTTCAATTCCCAGACCAATATATGAGCGCACACATTCAGACAAGGCAGCGCGTTCATATTCTATAATAATAATAATAATAATAATAATAATAATAATAATAATAATGATATAAGAAAGCTTTAACTTGGCAGCCACCTCGCTCTCGGGGTCGTACGTCTCGTTTAAATCTGTCGACAAGCACCTCGGTGCGCGCAGCGGCTGATCTGGGGTTCACTGCCCCCTCCGTGTGCACACGCGTGTCCAGACACCTTCACCGACCCGCCCTCTCTCACACAGCCCAGCCCGAGTGAGGGACAGCGAGATGGGGAGAGAAAAGGCGGCTCAGGACCCACCGCTCACCCCGGCAGATAGCGGTTCGGGAGAGTCTGTATAATGGAGCCGCCGACCCCGTGGGAGAAACACGGAGAGGAAGAGAGCCAGCTCCTCAGGCAGATCACTCCCACTCACACACACTGTCTCTCCAGCTGATCACACCAGCACACAGATCATATAGATCGCTCACACACACTCACCCCTACAGATCTCTCACACGCACTTTCTGACCGACGGATCACACACACACAGTCTCTCCGACAGATCACACTCGGACACACTCGACTCTGCCGGTTGCTAAGCACTCTCGCTGGCTGTCTGTGCGAGTCGGCAGCGGGCGGACCGGCTGACAGGCTGCGCTGTGCACAGCTGAGCTCCGTGCGTCCGCCGCTGTCCCGCATCTCCGGCCGGCTGACCGGCAGCCGCTGTCCCGCAGACCCCCGATCGCAGTCTGACACATTTGTATGGAGACAAGCGCATAAATAATCCACCTTGTATACTGACACAGGTTAAGGGTAGGGAGGCGCACACGGTAAATAGACGATGGTCCTAACGATCTTGCCCTCACCGTCTCCTCCGATCATCCGCAAGCCGGGTGCGTGGGCCGGTAGCGAGTCGTCAGCGGTCTCTCTGGTCTCGGTTCTGCCTCCTCTCTCCGGTGCGACAGGCTGACGGCGAAGCAGCGCCGGTGTGTCCCTGTGCAGAGAAAGAGAACAGAAGGAGAAAGAGAACAGAAGGGAAGGAGGGGGGGTGTTAGGATCACAGTCTTACCGCGAATCGCGACGCCCGGCGGTCAACTGCGGCCACTGCAGCGGCACAGCCGGAAAAAAACAGGAGGGCAGACTGTGACTGTGCGGCTGGAAGTGTGTGCTCTGTTTGTGAGTGTACATCTGTCTGAGTCTGTGTAGGTCTGTGGGAGTGTGTCTGCGTGTTGTGTTCTTGCAGATCTGTGGGAGTGTGTGTGTTGTGTAAGTGTGTGTGTGTGCAGACTGTTGGAGTGTGTGTGAATATGTGTGTGCAGATCTGTGGGAGTGTGTGGGTTGTGTATGTGTGTGTGCAG